AAAAATGATTTGGCACTTCCATGGATGCTTCCTAAAGCTTGAGTCACGGCATAGGTTCTTACTACATTTTCACAAAATTATCTTCTCACATGTCGCCTTATAACTGACAAAACTACAGTTTTGCTGATGGCTGGTGTAGTCTGCTTCTTTACAGAGCTCTGGGGTTTTGTAGTTCTGATGTCCTGAGCAGTTAAAACACCTTTTTTCTTCAATATGTTGTACACATGCAAGTAACGTTTTGACTAAAATATCCAAAGATGCAGATGGTTTGGGAAGTTATTAAATATTTTTAGTTGTTATGAGTTTATACTTTTATTTAAAATTCTAAAAAATCATCATGCACAAAAATCCTCTTGCCTCTTCCTCACCTTTTTTTTTCCCCCATTATCTTACTTCCATTTCTTTCAGGCAGGAGGCATGTAATGGGTAGAATATGTGGTGAATATCAGGTTTCCTCAATTTCTCCCTCTGAAGTAAAATGCTACAGAACTCATCTGCCTTCACAGTCTTAGTAAGAGAAACTTGGAAAGGTTCTACATAAGATACAGGCATTTTCTTCCTGTTTGTGTAGGTGCTAAATAACATCAAAATACATCTTGCAGCATGCTTTACAACCCTAACATGCATCAATATGCTTTTTGCAAGGTGCTATATGCTCATGTGTTTTGGATTACCTTAATTTTGATGTTAACAAACAATTTCTTAAATGTACTAGAGGGTAAGTGATACTAAGACAAAATAATAAAGTTCTTCCACAGCAATCATGCAGTCATTACAAACAACTATATACATTTTTAGAATTTAAGCTTTGAGAAAATCCTATTTTTACAGTTTTCAAGAGACTTCGATTTAGCAGAAATATGAATCATGTGTCTTTCTTGGCCTAAATCAAGTTTCTATGTAAAGACAGGCTTTTTGGCTTTCCAGTTTAAGGGGACGAATTGATAGCATTAGAGATCACCATGCAGCTGAAGGTGAACTACATCATCAGACGTACCTCCCAAAAAAGTAACTGAATGCTCCATCCACCTGCCCAAGTATTGAAAAAGATACATGAGTCTGTTTGGATTCATGTTTTAATTTATTCTGCAATTGCATTCAAAATATAAATACAATCTCTGAAGTGCTGAACATAGTTAAAACCACTGTTAAGACAGACTGACTGAGTTCTGAACATAGGCACAACTTGACTGGTTTCACTATAATTATAGTAATTCCTGTGAACCTCCTGGATTGAATCACCAGCTCATACCATCAAAACAATTCCTGTTATTTATGATGACTGGAGGAATTATATGATCTTTTCATATTGTATAAATTCATTGTTTCACATTTATAAATCCATCATATTTGAGATCAGGGCTGGTGATGTTCCCAGAGTATCTATCTGAAGTACTGGTTCACCTCCCAGCAGGCCGTGGCAGAGTACCTTGGCCTGCCTCCAAACTGAACTTAGCCCAACCTCTGTCTTTTGTGTATGTAAAATAAGGAGCACAACTACAGGCAAAGTTTCATGCTGGAGGTTTTAGATAAGGAACAGATGCCAAACATTAAAATTGTCTTATCTTTAGCCATCTTTCACATTCACACACAGAGCACCTAGTTAAAGTGCCAGATTAGACTCTCTTATTGCCTAAGCCCTTGATTTTTTTTTTTATAAATACGAGTCATATAAAAATAATTTTTCATGTACTATATACACACCATTTCCCTAGCAAAAACTTTTCTCTGCTATTGTCAGGCTCCTCATTCAGAAGTCACTTTCAGGTAACTACACTGCAGTTAAACTGAAACAAGCATTCCTAAACTCAAGTACTAGAGAACCACACAGGATGTCAGGATGAGAGAGATCTATAGTGGGCGATTTACTTTCTCTCTCACTCAAGCAAAACACAGGCTTCTGCACTGTGTCCTTTCAATTGCCTTCCTGTTTTTACTGTGTTGGCTACATCTAGATTGTCCACTAACTTAGGTAGAAAACAATGCTATGGTGGGAAAAGAGGTTCTGATCAGTTAAGTACTTGATTTTGTGGCTGTCTTGGTTCTGAATGTACTCTGGTTAAAGAACATCTCTGCTTCAAGATCTAACACTCCTCTCAATCATTAGCTACATAAGAAGAAAATAAGTTTTCGTTTCAAATATATACAACATATTATGCAACTTGGTACCTTTCTTCTACTTCTGTATTGTTCTATAGCTGAACTGCTCGGAATGATGACTGTAAGGGCATTAGCCGTCCACTGCTTCAGCAGCTTAATCAGCCTACACTGTCAATCATTGCACTCCTAAATCAGAAAAAGTTTTTAGAATTGTGAGATTCCAGAATTGAATCCTTAAAAATTTTAACACTTTCTGTGATTCTCCTCATCTGAAAATTGGAGAATTGTACTAGGCTGTTTAACTGATGAAAAGTAATAATAACCTTCTGCCTCCATTCTTTGTCCAGTAGGCTCTACTTTGCAATTCACCTGAATGTTCAGAATCATTGGCAGAAGCAACAGACGTCATCTGTTAAAATTTCTCTGTACCTGTTTCTTTTTTTATCAACAGTTGCTTTCAGTAACAGGCCTAGAAATGGATTTTGTGAATAAGAGTGAAACAAAGTAGGCCTTCTATTTTGCATGATTTATTCCTTAAGCATTGATTTAACTGGCTTTGTGTGTTCTATTAAAAACATCATCACACTTAAAATACGCTAGCAATTTTCTTCCATTTAAACAGATTCTTCTTCCTTCAGCTGCTCTGTGCTTCACTAGCCTATCTTTAGTGAAAGCATAAAAGTTCATTTCACTGACCACTCAATAAAGACAGTCTAGAGGTGTTAGAGGTCTTATAATGGGTGTTTCAAATAGAGGCCTCTTACCTTTTCTGCAGCACCTAGCAGTATACAAACATTATCCTGTAAGCATCTTGTCCTCCTTTTGAACCATTTCTCCAGCACTGAAGTGCCTTTCTGTTGATTTAAACTGAGCTTTTTACAGAGCAACGGAATGTTTTTCTCTATATACATCTGTATCACAACCCCTCAATTAGTCAGTCCCAGCAGATTTTAAACAAGATATAAATATGCAGGTTCATTATGCAGTTAGTATTTGTAACTGGGAAGAATAAATAGGGTACAATTCACACAGCGTCTTCTACAAACATGGCAGCATTCATCCCACAGAGCACTATTCCTAGGGCTTCCATACTTGCCTCAGTAACAGTGTGAGAAAAGAATGGACCACAGCATTCAGGAAAAAGCATGTCCTTAGTGGTAAAAGATCACCTTGTGAACTTCCACTACTTCAGGGGAAACAAGGAAGGTAGAAAAGATGGGAAGAGTAGCCAAGGATTTTAAAGGGAACCGCATAATAAAAAAAAATAAATAAAAGGGAGTTGACATTTTCTGCTTGTGAAGACACCAGACCATTGTTTTTACTGTCGTAAACAGTACTACAGGCCTCAATACATGAGGCACATTGGAAGAGATATCACTATATCTGGTGTTGTGTTTTTTCTACCTCTCTGCTTGAACAATGAGAAAAATAAGTCCTCACTGTTCAGAGTTCAGCTACAATGGCCAGTGTCATCCTTTTTTTTTTTTTCTTTTTTTCCTTCCTGAAGGTTCATTAACAGTCCTTGGATTGTATGTATACGACCAGACCCAAAATATTAGGTCTCTGAGGTACCTTCCCTAACTACTGCACTGCTAAACTAGCCTCTACTATCACTGGTAAAACATACAGATAATTAGAATCTCACATGATCAAATGATGCACACTAACACTTAAAAAAAATAATGTTAGGTTTTAAAGAGAATTCAGGTTCCCAGCAGCACAGAAAGTAATCTTTTGAAAGCTCCTGCTATGTACCTGTCAGCATCACTCAGTGGCTAAATGTCCTTAAAAATTTGACCATCCATCCTCCTGCAGATCTTGGCAAGTCTTCAGCTTGAGCTTCTGCCTTCAGCTGCTCCTGTTTTTAAGACGCTGATTTCATTTATTGTGAAGATCAGTCTAGGGCTATTACCACGGAACATTCCAAGTGTACTCACCAGTACACTGTGTCTGTGCTGCTGTGGCTACACTGATGCCTATGCACTAAGCAAGCTAGTGGTCCTTTCTGGTGCATTACTAATTCCAGGATTTTCAGTTAAGGAAAACAAAGAAAAGACTCACACACAATTACATGCAAATTTAAGTATAAAATTCTTTAGAAGTGCAGAGTATTGCAGAAGATCCATAAGAGGTTTGCTATTTTGATAATTATGTGATTAAAAGCCCACTAAAAACTATGGGAAAACACCTGATGACTTAAATGAGCTTTGGATCAGCTGTAAGGGCATTTCTTTACCTATGCACTGAGACTGTTATATACAACAGTGAATTAAGTTATAGTTATAACACTGAAGAAATGCCGGTAATGAATACTTATTTTTGCTAACAAGAGCAAATAGCTTTCTTAAGAATAGTATAATTTAACAACTTATCTATGCAATAACCCTATGATTAATCAAACCAAATTTTTTAAAACAAATTACAGACACACCTGTACAAACTATCTAAATCAAAGACTTTAAGTAAACACAACAATATATATTTCACAAAGTTACATCTTCAATGAGATGTTGCCTGTACAGTGACCTACACCATCAAAATCCTGAGCACTCCACTCTCAATATTGTTGGTGAGATCCAAGTTCATGCTGCTTCTTTCAAGCCAACACACACATCCTGTGTTTTCTACCAGGAAGCCAGGAGTTTATAGATTCATACTACTCCTCACACAGCTGCAGACTGCTGAGCAGGAAACAGATCTCGCACCATGAATTAGGAATGTATGCTAAGTATCACATCAAAAAGTACTTGGTAAAGTTGTTTGGATCCCTCAACATAAAGGTTCAGGTATCTACCATTCAGGAACAATATTACTGACTTCTAAACTCAGTATCTAACCTATGCTAAGCTAAACAATATAATTTGATTGCAAGAAACGCATGGGCTTAAGTCACTCTTTGTCTACGCCTTCAGTGCCTTTTTGAGGTCAGAGTAGAAATTGGCCAGGGTACTAGACATGGCAGTGTCTACTGCAGATTGTGGTAGCATCCCTCGCAGTTCAGTCTGAATATAGCCTGTCAAGAGACTGTGACTAGGACAGTCCTTAAGGGGGACACAGAACCAACCGCAAGGGTGATTGAATCCACGGACAAAGTTAGGTCTCACCTCTCCATAGTCAAGGCTTATACCTGTCAAGGAAAAAAAAAAGGAAATTAATTTGAGACAGACAGAGAAGTAACGGTACAGTAAATTTAAAATGTACAAGTTTCTGCTTGTAGAATTTAGTAGCAGTGACCGATGCACGTCACGTTTTTGTGTACTTTCATGCATCAAAGCTTTCTGCTCTTCATCCAAACCTCACAACAGAGAAGCAGAGCTTGACAAGCAGAAATTCTGACATTAACAAGACACTCCTCCCATTTACTCACAAACTGAGCAAAGTGTTACTCCACCCAGCTTGCTGTAAGAGCTGAGTCAGAACACTCAACTTGTCTCTAGCACTCCTGTCCCACAGCTGGCATAAGTGAAACTTGGCGTGCAGGGATGGCTCATGGGGTAAACCAGTAACTTGTATAATTCTTTAAATGTGTAAAATGTTAAAATACTTTTGAAATACTTGTTGAAGACCATCTTATCCCATGTTTGAATGCTTACTGCAGAATTAAATTTAATTTGACTCAAATATTAAGCCAAGCAGATGATGCAAAATAAGAATTAAGCAGAGGTAGGTGGTGCCTTACCACATGTAAGAAGCCCATCTTCATAGCTTGTAGTGTAAGAGAAATCAACAAACTCCCTTGGTGCTATGATGTTCCAGAGCTGGCCAGCAGTGGTGTAGCGCATCACACAGCAGTTCTTGTCAAGCGGAAGAACAAGGAGGGTAAAAAAACCAAAAATACCTTAGCGTAACAAATACAGGGAAATCTATGCTTGTAGGCAGCTAGCCATTTCCACAAAGGTTTTAGGCTCTGCCAACTATGCTGTGCAAACAAGTTCAGTGGGGTCTGAATGGCTGTCATTTTCAGTCTAAATGCTGGTATTTTGTAAGGACTTGCTGTCTGCAACCAAGAGCTGCAGTGACAGAGCATTTGGCAACTTTAAATCATACAGATTAAAACTAAAGAACTGTGTCATTTCTGGGAAGTGAAAGCCATGTGGCTTTTATGTGGTTTCACAATTACTTAGGAAGTCTGACAGGGCCATGAATAAATTGCAAGAGGCCTCTTTCAGTACTACAGTGCTCTGTCAAGTGCTTTTAAGCCACTAAGTAAGTAACAAAACAGAATGCAAACAATTAATCAAAAAAGGCTTTTTTATAAGACAATAAAGTTTGTACAAATTTAATGAATAATCAGCAAAAACACCTTGCCGTATAAGTCTCTTTAAGAGTCAGAGCAAAAAGACAAAAAGGACCACCTAGAGCAGGTCATATAGGAACATGTCCAGGTGGGCTTTAAATGTCTCCAGAGAAGGAGACTTCACAACCCTCCTGGGCAGCCTGTTCCAGTGCTCTGTCACCCTCACAGTCAAAAAGTTCTTCCTTATGTTTCTGCAGAACCTCTTA